GTAACTAATAGTGATAAGTGGCTGATATATAATATCTAAAATCTTTATTATTATTAAAATGTGAAAGTGACTTTGTTATATTGGTTTTTAATCAATAAAATTTGGTATACATATGTATATTATATATGGAGTGGAGAAGCACATAGGGTCAACATAGATCAATCAATGCATGTTGATTGACCAAGATAGATAGTAGTTCCGATCATGCAGACGAAGTCGCGGAAAATAGCTAGTAAATTATAAAATACAGAATCACCAAACTTTTTCGGTCCCATCAGAGTTCTGTAAAAGGCAATTGAGGAAATACAATACATCAATATAAGATAAATAAAACTCGCAACAAAACCTTACCTACCCTGTGTAACAATAATAGGTTAAAATCTCCTCCTATAGGGCAGTTAATAAGTTATTATTATGATAATAATATGACAAGACACCCGATTATTATTCTTGAAAAGCTGTATCATAGAATAGTCTTATTATATAGAAGTCTACAATTACTTACACCTTCGAAACATTTTACGATCGCAATTCAAAAGCATCATAAAACTTATGCAAAACATTAGGTCAAAGCGATCGATAGGCAAGTAGCTGGGGTGTACCATAGTTTCGTAAAGTAGAAGACCTCGTAGTGCCGTTTAACTCGAGGAAAGCTGTTTTGACTGCCTTACTGCATTTTAAATCCTATTTTAAATCGTCTATAGAACAAGATAAAATTTAGAAAATCAAACATAATATACCATATTATTCACATTTAATTGACTTAATCGAATTTTTATGCGGCATAAAATGGAAAACAAGCTAACGGCCCACCAAATGGAAAGAGATAACCATCGCCTATAAACAATAAATAGTACCATGGACATAACAGAGTACACTGTGATCCTACAAGCGTTGCCTTTCCTGAGAACTATCACTAATTCCTTATGTCAGATAAATTTATGGTAACAACTCACTATAATATTAATAATCCCCATACCCATAGAAAAATATCCACTACAGGTACCTATTCTGAATTTATATGTTACTCTATATCATAGATAGAATTCGATGCTATATTTTTTTTCTTGTTAATAACTATCAATAAGGCAAATCGTCTATTTTTCTTTTTTCAGCAAATAATAATTGTATCCAAGAAATGCCGGACACCTAATTTTTAGTCATGACTTTACTCAGTAAAAAAGGCTCTTTGTTGGTCGAAGAATTATATTAACGTAAAACGTAGTGAATGAACGTACTTACTCAATGAATATTCCGTCGAACGAGATATACAGAATTTATTTCTAAAAGGTAAGGTAAGGTTATTATATGCAGCCTATACAATAGTAAGGCTAATATATCGTCTCCTTTCTATTTTTATGAATATTATGTACTACATTCTCGTCATTTTTATTAAAGTGTTTATGTGTATACTTAACAATCGTTTCAATCGACGGTTTTAAGAACATTTATAACTTTCGTCTCAATCTATAAGGATGTTTTGTAACTCTAACAGTAGTATTTATCAGAAGTAAATGTGCTACATACAATGATAAAAAAAACTGACCACCCTCCAGAAGTCAAGTGAAAACCGTCGCCTATAGACTTGAACAGATCCACAGAAATCACAAAATAATAGTCATGATGCCAATAGCAATCCTCCTAGCCCTCCTGGTAATACCTAAGATTCCTAGATATAAGAGTTTTATATATAACAATAGTTTAAAAATAATAATTTGTATCTGTACACTTAAAACCATTTATGTTATTCCCATTAGAAATTTAATAGTTGATACTTGTCACTACTATATGAACAAATTATGCTTATGTACACGCAAACGTGAGTTTATGTACGGAGAGCAGAGTTTTTCGTTCTTCAAGCAGTCGTATTTTAGTTACAAAGAGGTGAGATCGAGAAAGAAGCAGAGAGTAGTTATACTATATGACGTATTACTATTACATATATCTACTATAATGTAACGCAACCATAGATAATGACTTACCTACCGAGTAAAATAAAATTATATCGCAAAATTGATTCAATTAAGTACCATTTCCGTTTCAATAATGAGATCATGCGAACTTGATTCCATAATATTCCTTGTCGATGTGGTCGGTTTATTTTTGTCTCAATTCTATTAAAGTGACTCAAATAAGTGGTACAATTTATGGTTTATCTTTCTTTGCTTCTGGCATAAATGGCACTGTTATTGAACGAAGGAATGCAGCTCGCGCTCCACGTTCTGGGCACTTTGCCACACGAACGCGAATTTTCAGAATTACACCCCATACAGCCAACATAATCCCATCCTATAGTATTTTACGTTTTCTTTGTCTTGACTAATTAGGTAGGTATTTAGTATAATAAAAAACTAAATCTTCAATTAGATAATTTAAGGCACACTTGTTTGTAGTGTCATATCTAGTCATAATCTTTTATTCTATAATCATAAATTTCAGATCAAATATTTAATAAAAGTCACGAACTAATTAAATTGAGGAGGCAGACTAGTATTGTTCTTAGGAAATTAACAAACGATTACTGAATTACGAATAATAACATTGAACATATTGAAAATGGGCCATGTACACTCATACTGAGTTTAGTACTATGCGCACTAGGCATCTAATAAACTGACTGGTACTAAAAAATATATAAGTATTCTTTGCAAATATATACGAGATTTATACCTAACTATACAGAAAACAGTCAAACCTTAAAATCGAACACGCAAACATCGGAAGGTTCATCAGTCAGTTAAACCCGATCGTGGGAACGTGTGTACATTGTTAATAGATGTCTATACATATTTATAATGAAAATTAAGATTTTAGTACAACTTAAGCATAAAAAATAAATTTCGTTGTCTTATATCGTTACCGAAGTAAGTATTGCAGTACTTACATTGTCTCACCAACGACTCTATCCCAACGACCTTGTGCCTTATGTTTTCACAGATGAAATTACTTCTTGGAATAGATTTCATTCACTAATCAATCCAGTGTTTTCTTTATTATTTGTATAATAAATACTAGTATTTCTTCATCAGGGGATTCATTATCAAAATACTATTTAACAGGACATAAATTTCACTTTAAACTTCAACTAATTCAAAATGCCAATGATAACATAAGTATAGTTTTCGGTATTAAGTATACAAGTATATCAACAAATAGAGATCAACAGAATTTTATTTTTAATTAGCATAGTTTATCATTATAAAAATGATAAGACGAGGATAAGAATGTTTGAATATATTTTAAAATATAAAAGGCTTTGAAATGGAGAGATTCAATATTCAACTATAAATGTTATGTTGTTCATATTACATAACATGCTCGCTAATTCTACCAATATTATAAATGTGGAAGTTTGAAAAAATGTTTGTATGTTTATTCCTCGATCACATTTAAACGACTAAATGAATTCAAATGTATCCTAACATAGAATACTTTACATACGCGGAAAACGTTGCGTAGAACAGCTAAATTAATAAAATTTTCATGCTTTTTTTAAAAAGGGAAAGTTAATCCACTAATTACTAATTTTCGTAAAATTTAAGTTGGTTACCTTTAAGGACAAAATTTTAAAACATATTCCGTTAGGTAGTTGAAATGTAAACATTTTAGAAATAGCGTGTCATTCTTATCTCTACAGTCTACAGTGTAATAGACATATACATTATATGTATATATCGCGATGGGTACATTCTAATATCAAGTAATTACTAATTTACGTACGTATTACCTTACCTTTACACGGTGTCAATTGTTCTCTGCTCACGATATCTAAGCAATTGTGATTGTCTTGATCTCTCCTTTGAAACGTGAAACGTCGACGGCTAATTACAACCATCGCTTTTACCTAATTACCTGAATATTAAACTAATAATTGAACACTTATAGTATCCATAGTACTAGCTTGTTATCAGTGCTGATCTAAATTGAAAACCACAAATTGGATGCTAGAAACCTTGTAATTAAAATAATTAATTGCTGAGTATTCACCATCTTCAGAATATAAAAAATTAACTCCATTTTTAACAGTGAATGCTGAGTAGATTAAAGAATGTAATTTTTTTCTCAAAATAAACACTTGAACCGAGTAAAGTAATTACTTCAGTTTCAATAGGATTAAATTTACATAGGTATTATTTAAAGAGCGGTTGAGTCTGGTGATTTACGATTACGTCAGCGACATCGTTTCATATGGCTAGCCTGATTATATAATATTATATGAGAATACATAAATTGTGACAACTCAGTTAGACAATGTTTGACTGCGGTCTAGATATCTTAAGACCGAAATCAACTGAAAACCTTATAATTATTCAAATTAATATTTGGGTCATCGTATTTCGAAGGACACTATCACTATCACACGTTGAGGCATAGTAGCACGAGAATACATCATCAAATTACACTTGTTACCTTAGTTACACCTGTTGACCTATATGCTATGTGAAAACAGCAAAGGATAAACTTGTTGCCATAATTTCAACCTTTAAAAAAGTTGTTCAGTGACATAAACACTAGGTATCGCTATGAATCTGTGTTGAAACAACATATACAAAGAAACAAATAGTTATAAAAATATGTTTTTATTATTTGGTCGTGTAGATATTATTATCTAATATTATTTTTTATCTATCTTATTTTTTAATAACCAATCTCAAAAAGTCTTGCTTAAATGTTTAATATAATATACAGTAAGTGAAGCACATATATATATATATATATATATATATATATATATATATATATATATATATATATATATATATATATATATATATATATATATATATATATATATATATATATATATATATATATATATATTATATAATAAACAAAGTAACTACAATAATAGTTATATATAATAGGCTGAATTGTTATATCATTTTTCTTTATATACACCTAGTTTACACTTACAACTGCCATTTTTAGTTGACTGCATACAACCTAAACAAAAAGGGTATCTAGTTATGTAAAATAAAAATAAGTAGAAATAATACACATGAAATTAAATCAATTTAATAGTTAGAAAGCCATTGTGGTCCGCAAGTACAACTGAATATTTGACACTAAGACATTCACATAGTACTTATATGAGGTTTCAAAGATATTGTATTTTTCTTTCTGTCGAAGTGAAGTTATTTAACTTCAACAAACGAATGTCAAGACTCGTTGTTTTGATTAAGAATTCTGACAGACGAAGTTGAATTAGTTTTACCAGCTCTACAGAAACATGTCACAGTTGGGTATCCATCTCCTTCGCTAATAAATAATGAACATGTATTTATGGTATTATACTATAAAATAAACCACCATAATTAAAACTGTATAAGGACTATTTACATATGAAGGAATGCCCTAAATTTATTAGAAAAGGGATGAAACAAATATAACCTTTAATTACCCTGGATGGCCGTTTATATGTGAATGTTTTTCGTTACTCATGATTTTTTGCCCCCTTATTACATCATTATCATCTTTTTTATATTAAGAGTGTTTATACCGACATATAAGAATATCTTCATGATCAGTCAATTTTTAAAAACAAACAATGTTCTATTTTTAAATGATTAAATTGAATATTAATTTTATATTGCCCAATAACATTAATTATATGATAATTTGCAAATATATCTGTTACTAAAAATATAGAAACAGATTAATATTTTGGAGTTTTCGACAGTTGTAATTATTTATATCGACTATAAAGTGAGTAAAGCCGACATAAGTAATTACAATATAATATGACTCACGATGTTTATTTTTCGACAGTTTTTGTTAATGTTTCGTTAAGAAAATTATTCTACAGATTCCAAAATTTCAAGAATGACTGAAAAAGAATCTTAACGCGTTTTAGTTTGCTATAGGTATTTTTATTAAATTATTATCGAGAAATAGGTAAATTAATATTTAAAATTTGACTATCAATACAGGCATTATAGGCGATGTAAACACTCTTAACGTACTCTACATGTATTTTTTGCTAAACGAAAGAATTTAATAAATACAAAAGCGATATAAGCCTATAATCGTGTTATTCGCCCGCCATGCGCTTGGTAATTGACTGCCTCCAACAGGTTTAATCATATCTCACAATTTGTACGAGCACAAAATAACTTAGGTACACATTACACAGCATTATTATATTTACAAGCCTAATCATTCAACTCAGTCTATATTTATTAATACTTTTAATTCATTCGATCTCATAATTGTAGGTCTCTACAATAAATTTGTCTACATTTACTTTAAATCCGTCTTATAATTGATATAATGTAGATATGTCGGTTCAGATCAAGTTACAAAAATGCAATCTAAATTTAAATAATATCTACTTATTACATAAATAATTTATTTTCAATATTAATCTGATAAAATTAAACTTTATTTATTACATGAAATTAATTGTATATTTTTACTAATAATTGTCTAATTTTCAGTACCAATATTATTTTTTACTAATTGTACGGTAAGAAGTATCTAATACCGTATTGTGATACAATTATTTTTAGAATGTATATCATCTAAGCTATTCGAAATATTTTCAAAATACATGGCTTTCTTTTTTCTCGATCTGTAGGTACTTTTATATATAGATATTTTGTTACCTACAGTACCGAGTTATTTAAATTTTACAAATTATTAATTACTACTCTATAAATATTGTAAACTATATTATTTAAATATCAGTGTAGCAGAATACATGTTATTATAATTTACCTTATAATAATATACTTACATATTTACAAGTATTACAACAATGTTTTATTTTCAGATATTCTGAATTCATGCCTCATATCATTTCAATTAATATCTGATGCAAAATAATTTTTTAAACCTTTAACTTTTAAATATTTATTTTTAATTAATATCAAGTATAAATTAAAATATTTGTTATTTTAAACATTTCCAATCTCAGTCATTTATAAAATTACAATACCTAAAGTAATAGCCTAAAGAAAGGAAAATATTTACATACATGTTATATGAAATTCTATCGTAAACTACTCTGCTCTAATTATTTCATTATCTGTCAACCACAACATAACTTTCTGCTCTTATTAATATTTATTAACTGAGAACGCAGACGCATAAATAAACAAAACTTCAGGGATCTAACTTTCAAGTACCAACTTTCACCAACATATCTAACACAGCAGTGTCAGAAATAGGTAACAAAGAGAATACCACCTTAATATAATATTTGAATTAGTGTATTCCATTTTTAGAATCTGTTTATTTATCATAAACTAATATTAGTTAATAAATATTTATTATCAATACTGAATTTAGATAAAATTACGTACACTAATATTATAACGGGAAGCGTTGGATTACATGCGAAATATTCTTATCTTTATCTTTTTTCTCTTTATATGGCTTTATTAAAAAAATTGTAACATAAATATTTCATACTATACGCAAAAGTTTATATTTTAATTATTGACCTATACTGAGATATGTATGTATGTATTATGTCCTATAGTATAAAGAAAATATGTTCTTAGTGAAATGCTGGAAAAATTATATTGATGAGGAATATTTCTTATTGCAGCAATGAGAAAACGAAGCGGTATCATTACTTTATACTTTGTGAGTATTGATTAACCGACATCGACATTATCTATTTATTTATATCAACTTTATTGACCACTACGAGTATCGTGTAATTGTTATAAATATCGCTTAATCTCATTAAATACAATAAATAAGAAATGTAAAAACATCTACTTATTTGAGATGAATATGTAATATGACAGTGCTAATTAATACAAGAACAGAAAAATAAATTTATCAAATATTTAATTATTATGGACAGTGATGAAGAATTTATATTAATACTTTAGTTTAATCCATCCATTTTTACGATATGTAATCACAATTATATAACATTTAAAGTTACTAAAATACCTAAATTTAGAAGTAAACTACTTAATACTATTCTTTAAAAATTAATACTATGTAAAAAAAAAATAACTACATTTGAAGTCTTGGTGAATTAAAATACAAAAACTTTCAAATTCAGTATTTCAAAATATATAATAATACTTCACGTAGTTTTGTTATATTGCACAAAATATAATATATATTTTGTGCAATATAACGTATGTGTACTTTATTCTTTTATCAAAGGTACTAATTATGTTTGAAAAATCAAATAACATAGAAATAATTAGTTACCATGTTAAGTATAATATAAAGGAACTTAGGGTTTGGCAATGTTTTTCGTAGGAACAACTTTATTACCGGTAAGGTACATAAAACTATTGCAAATTGCAATCCTAATTGTCACACATATATTATGACATGGGTATCGAAGGGATATCTTCGGTACTATTCATGTCTTTAGACGACAGTTAACATTGTCTATTATGTATGCCGATAGTCTGTTTAGCATTTTAAATTATATTAAAAAATATATAAAAAAAGTCATGTAAAATATTCCAACGCTTCCTACAACAAGATTATCAAAAGATAAAGATAATAAACAATTTATATATAGCGTAACATTGACGCTGATTGGAAAATTAGGTGACAATAAACAATTGAAAATCGGCATTTATCACTCGTTACAGAGAGATGAACATCAAAGCAACATTTTCAACTAAGCGATTGTACGGGAAGGTAAAGTTAATTTATTTTGTAAGTTATTCAAAGAGAACAGCCCTAAATTGATGATGTTGTTATCTTGATTAAAATGACTAATGAGAATAAAAAACCGTAACAGAGCTGATCCTTCGAAACGGCCCCGTTGTAATCTTGTAGCCTAAAATCTGAAAACATTTATATAATTAGGTTACACATAAAGTATCCAAAGTAAATCTTTTGTTTTGTATTTTTATAGAACAAAAAATGTACTTTGCTAAAACACAGATATTTAGTTTTTATTGATAAAATTTTCCAAAAGTAGTTTTAATGAGCATACAACAGCTAACATTCCCTCCCACTCAGCCTTTACAAAAACAAGTATCTACAAAATATTTAAAAAATAATAATACATATTTCGGTTAAGTATTTATAATAATGAACCTACTCAATTTTTAAGGTGAAGCTTTTTCAGTACGTGATTCAGAATAAGTACGTCGTTGGACGGATACCTACGTTACGAATAAATTCATAACATTTCATGCAAAACAAATAAAAAATACCATTAAATGTAATTAGAGATTAGTCAAAATACATAAGAAACTTACCCTGCGTACCGAATGGAGTGCTTTCTGATGATTTGTCAGCCATTATGTTCATCCTCTGAACTACTGTAAATAACATACATAAATGCTTAAGAACCCTATCTAAATTTATGTTTCTGAAGTAATATTACATGTATACTAAGTATATATTACACAAAAAACTTACCATTTTTATTTTCCACGGCGGGCGAAGGCATCGCTGCGTAATTGAAAAACAATATTTATTGCAATCGAACCATTTATAGCTAAATGTTAATTTTAGATCGAATTAAATCAATCGCTTACGTCTTATAAAAATAAAAAATTAATAATAAATAAAATTCTAGCTTAGAGATTCTAATTGCAAATTAATAACATTGTATAAGAATACTCATACCAAAATTCTAATATAAATTAATTATAATAATATTTTTTTCTAAATCAAATAAATTTATCATTGGTTTTTAATAGTATATTAAGACTAAAACACATTTTTTTTAACCAAATCAAGCCCCATAGAGAAGAGTTATTATTATTTCTATTAGAGATCATAATAGTAGACTCACGATATAATTTGATGGTACCCTCCGTATCTCCCAGCGAATTCTTGGAAACGCATTTGTATGCACCGTAATCGGAAGATGTGATTCTTCGGATAGCCAAACGCAGTACTGAGCGATATGAGCCGTCTATTTTCTGCGGCTCTAGACCACCTCCTGTCAAAATAAATCACTGCAATAATGTTTGACAAAAAAATAGTCATAAATTTCTAAATAAAATAAAAATAAAATAAATTATTCCTAAATAAATAAAATAGTCATAAAGGGACTGCATTTAATTCTCGTCTAGTATTTCTACCACTATTTCCTGACAACCAAAGGTTGCCGACAGTTACTCATGTCATTAAAATGGAAAAGTTCTCATACTTACGCTTATGGTATATGTTGGTAAGGCACATGATGATAGATGTTGATGATATCAGATCAATTGGCCCGTGACAAATTCTCTAAAAATTAACCACGATAGTTTCCAAAAAAGGCCACATGGAGGTCGACTCAACTAGCGGCACCATTACTAATAAACATCCCCCCCCCCCCCCCGTTTTGGTAACGTTTCCAAGTATATGTTGGCATGTGCGGGTCAAAATGTTAATAAAGGGGAATCATTATCCTGTTTTTTATTATAGAAATACGGTTATTAACTACTCTTATCAAATTTATGAAAATTATTTAACTTCAGAAACGAAATAAATATCTTTAGTGTTTTTGTGATTTCACGTCCATTTGTTTTAATATGTAGTAAGCGGCACTTCACTATTGACAATGGGAGTAATTAATCTTCATAATAGGGAGAGACGCCATTTGTAGCCACCTATTTTTTACCCTTCTGCCGATGATAGGAGGGTAAAAAATAATGCTTTTCGGGTGAAGGTAAATATGAGTATGCCCGTCATCGCTGTCAGTGTGCGTCTTTACACAATGTATAGCCTGAATGACTTAATGGATTTTTATATATGAAGTGTCTTTAGATAAGTCTTAATTGTAGGAGTCTTGGCCATAAACTTTTAAAAAATTATATGGCAAAAGTTTACTTTTATTTTTATTTTTATGAATACTTGAATATATATATATATATATATATATATATATATATATATATATATATATATATATATATATATATATATATATATATATATATATATATATATATATAAACCTGCAACGAGCAGGCCAGACTTCAATTTCATAAGCATCAACATAATATCCTTAAGTGATGATCAGTTCTCTGAATAGTTATAATTATCATATAGAGCTATACATAAAGAGATCGCTGACTTCGGACTTCGTAATGCAATTCTGTATAAGCTAATCGAATATAAGTCTATTCTAATTTACTATTTTTTTTTTAAATTGTACACAAAAGGTCATTAAAATGGAAAAACAAACATAATAGTGCACAAAGGCGAGTTTATCTCCAAAAGAGATTTCTTCTAGCAAACCCAATATGAGAAAACTGACAGTTTATTGGTAATTAAAAGTATAAGTAAATATATATAAATAGGTAGATATATATTATATATAATACACACAAATATAATTAGTTTTAAAGAGTGGGATATGGCGTAAATTTACAAGGTTCAGAGGAATAATACCTGAGTCCTCAGGAATGGCAACGAATGGGGGTATCATGGGCGAAACAATATACTCTATTATGTCCATGGTACTGATCATGCTATAGGCGACGGTTACCACTTTCCATCAGGTGGATCATCAGCTTGTTTGCCATTCTAAGTTGTATAAAAAAAAAGTTACAAATACAATCCAAAACTCTAATATCTATCTTATACGAATGTCCTGAAAAATCACAATCTAAGACAAAACTAATTAATTCAGGTTTATACTAAGCCTGTAAATAATAAACAGCTTAAATCTGTTTTTAATACAAAAACCGAAATAACAAATGAATACTGATTACGGTGTGATTTATTCCTAGTAATAACTATGATATTACTCGTATCTTTAGTCTTTCGCAATAAGATAGTGTGAGTTTTGTCGCCACAATTACGTCGCTCTTGACAATTTTATGGAACGTTCAGTTTAAGATAGTAAAATCCACGCAAAAAATAATAAAACGCTTATGTCATGTATGTTAGTAAATTAAGTCATATTTTAATTGAAAGTAGATGGCAATAAGATTTGAATATGGTTGATACTCATAAGTAACGATGATCTTGATGGTTTAGTATTCTACTTGCCGATGATTGTTGTTTTATCCCGCACAGTATAAACACATATATGTATAAATAAGTCTATCTATTGAACAGAATATTTTCTACATATTTAAAAATAATGTATTTAAAGAATCAAATTCATGTAATAAACATTTCTTACTTAAAATTAGATAAAATATTTTAACATCTTAGCAATTTCAAAAGTTTGAGCTCCCTGCCGAGGTTTTCCCTAGAAGTCTACAGTATAGACTTCTTCATAAAGCGTATATTGCTGTTTCTTCAGGGTCGGCAACGTACACGTGACTTTCATAGTATTGCAGGCATAGGCTACAGTGACTTTTTACAATCAGACGAGTTATATGCTTGTTTGCCACCTTTGTGGGATAAAAAAAGTTTTTTACGCAAATTCAAGCACCTATATCATAAAATTTTAGTTAATTTTTGCTCCACAAGCACTAACAGTACCCATATACACAATACCAATTAGTTTGGAAAAGAAAGCACTGTGATGTGTTGAAGGTCATTTATTTATTCCACAAAAATAAAGGAAAACAATATCTGCACAGTAATCGGGAAAAAAATCGTAAAGTAAGGAAAACACATTATTTACCCGTAACTCCCTAATTACAACAAGGATATAGGTAGTACACGCCTCTCACGATTTTAACTGCCCATTTTAGCAACTAAGTGGCTGTTCTACTTGAGCATAATTTACGAATACTAATACTCGAGCTATTCTATTTTATTTAGGAGAATGGTGAGAGTATTTCATTTTTTACATATCACTATAAATACGATTATGCTATATTATGCTATTAATTGAATAAGATCCAATAAGTAGATCATTTAAATCACTTTTTTATATAGACTAAGGCACTACACCTAAACATTTAAAAATAGATTTTAGTTTAAGTTATAATTTATAATAAATTTATTTAAGAAACAAAATTTGTGTTTAATTCCTATTACAAGTTACGTACATCATGTTAACTTATTGTTAATTACATATATTTTATTAGCATTTTATTCTTAGATGCTATTTTATTACGTTGTTGACTTGCGATTAGACCTGATATTTTTATTTTGTTTATTGTAAACTTTCCCTGCATTAGTCAGCATTAACAAGAGATGCGTATCAACATTATTGACGTTTTACGCTAAGGACACCTAACAATCTAAATCTCCGCAAGAGACTGAGTATTGCGTTGTAAATAATGATAATATAATAATATTGTGAGCCATTTTTAATATTAGTAGTAAGAACTAACGGTCCTATTGCTTGTAATGTCCTGTAAGAAATACCTCCTGAAAACCATCATGGTTAGTTCCTGGTGAATTCGTCATGATGGACCGATTGACTTCTCTTACTTATTATACTAGTACTCCACCAGCATACACCAATAGCACATAATTGATTATTTTTTTATTATCTTCCATAAAAAATTTACAGTAAGAAAATTCTATTAAAAGTAGCCCAATTTAAATATCATTTACTATAAGGTGAAGATAGATCCAACCTAAACTCCTCTTAACAAATGTAAAATTCTAAGTGGGTATTCATTATTTTACTTTGGAAAGTTTTACAAGTTAATTCTAGACAAGTTCACCAACAAAAAGCTAATATTATAATATTCCATTTTAATATTATACTTTTTGTTTACAAACTTATCTAGCTGTAATATATCTAGAAGTACATCATTATTGTACTATACATCTTATATATAAAAATCTCGTGTCACTGTGTTTGTAGTAGAACTCCTCCGAAACGGCTCGATCGATTTTTATGAAGTTTCAAGTATATTTGGTAGGTATGAAAATAGGTCACAAAGTATATTTCATATCGCTAAATAATTAAGGTGTCTCTATCCAGAAATACGGCAGAACAACGTTTGCCGGATCAGCTTGTATTAAATATAATGGATTGTATATGTCACTTACCAACAGGAACGATTTCCCCGTTCTCTCTACTCCAGTAACTGACTGGCTTAGGATATGCTTCTGTTTCACATTCTAATACTAAATCTGTTCCTAACGCGGCACCAACCAATTGGTTTCTTATAGTAATCACCGGTGGAACTGTTAAAATGCAAATAATGTATAGTTATAGGTAAATTTTAATACCATATGTAAAAACAGTAATGTTAACAAATATACAAAAATCATTAAAATTGAATCTGATTTGTGCTTATCGATGTTTATAAAGCATTTATAATGGAAATAGAGACACAAAAATCAGCAGCTGATTGTCAATTTGAAAATAAAATAAACAGGACTGAAATACGAGCGCTATGGAGGAGAATATATGAAATCAAACTGACAGGCCGTGCTCATAATACGTAGTATATATGAGAGGGAATTAACTTAAAAGAGTTGATGTAAATATTAGAAATATATATGCTACGACGTTTTAGACATGCAAATAAATATGTAATATGCATATATATAAATATAATAAAAATTTAATGAATAACTTACATTGAACTGTGAGTATTATTCTCTTGCTTACAGTTGGCGGCACTCCATTTGAAGCAATGCATAAATATGCGCCTGCATGCTGCCTATTGACTCGACTTATATTTAAAACCGGGCCTTCCAACGATGTCACTGCAAACGTTGCTCAGTTAGGAAGACGAAAATAAGACATGTCATGTTTGTTTGATGAATTATTTGCAATCTATTTCTGTATTTCATAAAATTTCAGCTTATTTTTTGTACGTATAGGTAATGTTAGTAAATTTTAAATAACATTTTAAAAATGCATTAGCTAATTTTATTTATTAGCAATATTTAATATAATAATGATCCATATTTATTAATAAATATCTCTTTACCGTTACGGTTATGAGTAATATGTACTCAAAACCAACACGAGATGGTAAAGCGCAAACATTTATTCTTGCAAACCATGTGTAAACCTACAAATACGCTCGGATACATACATGGTGACTAAAGATATTTGTATATTTGAAATATTTTAATTCTGGTTAAATCATAAAGAGACTTTATAGAAAAATTATCTGCATGGGTCTCTATCCTACTCTATCCCAGCTGTTTAACGGTATGTACATGCCTTCAAGCAGCTGTGCTTATATGACAATGTTTTAGTTGAGAGGATAGGACATAACAATGAAGTTACAAGATACAAAGGCAAAGGTAAAGTTGATGGTTATCCCTTTACATCAATTGGGACATCAGCTTGTATGCCATTTAAAGTCAAAATATATAAAAAAAAATCAAAAGATTTTTCTATTGAATTTTTAAACGTATTTTTTTTTTCTTAACGTAACTAATTACTCCAAACTAAAATTTAAACATACGTATTCCTTATTACCTAAAATTCTGTTTTACTAAACTAGGTGTTATTTTTCGTGTATCTATATTACTGGTTAGTTGATTATAATTTTTTTATTCCGCTAGCATTAGTATGCGTACGACTACCCACACTCGAAGATTGTTATTATCAAAAGTTCTACAATTGTCCATATTAGCCACATCAAACTATGATCACTATTCCTTCCAAGCACGTTTTACGGCACGTATTTTACTCCAACGCGAGGCATCTTCAGATAAATTAATAAATCACTGCTCGGAGCCTAGTATTAGCCGTTCGGTTCATTACGAGTATATATTTTATTCTGTTGTCAACGAGTATCATTAGAAATAAAAATTAAATAATTAATTTATGAAAATAGAACAATTATCTGTATAAATAAGAGAAAAGAAAGCTATTCTATTTATGCAATGTAAAGTTCACAAATTTTTTTTTCTTGTTCGATACTTAATAAAGCAAATTTAATACATTTTATAATAAATAATACAGAGCATCGCTGTGAGAATAAACAAAAATTGCAACATATTTTAATCCTGCTTGTTTATTATTTACATAGATTAATTCACTTCTACATGCAGTGATTTTGTATATATATTTACTTCGTTATTCAAAATATATTAGAGTAGTAAATAAAAATCTAACAATTAATCCCAATATGATTTTCTTGCCCTTTGAATAGGATAGAATATAGTAGAATCAATAATCTATGAACACCAGTAGATTAGTTACAATTTGAGGCGCATTGTTCTGTCTACATGTCATTGCTCCAATGCCTTTGGTATGTCTCAAACAATTAAATGACCATTCAGAACGCATGTCTCTGTATAGACATGTCTGTTGAACAACTGGTTGAGTCTTTTAAAGTATATGTAAAAAAGTAGAACTTAGAATTAAATGATCAATTTAACTATCATATCATATCGAAGGTAAATTATATTTTTTTCAAATATATTTTATTAAAAATAGCGTTAATGAATCAATTTATCAATTTCAGTGTACTTACAGACTCAATGGGATCGACGTGACCTACACGCAAACAGTTGGGTCATATGTACAGACACAAATTAATCCACGGTTAATAAGCCTGATAGGTAGGTAACATTTGTTGCCGATAATTAATAGCTTTGCAAATTTCCTACTTATTCACATCACAGCCAGTAGTATCATGCCTTGATCCAGATCAAGGCATGAACTATAACTTGACAAAATATCAGAAGTACCATAAGTTTAACTCCTTACAAAATAGATTTAGACTTAAAATTCTACTACTAATTACTTAACAAACGATTAAAATTTACATATTATGAAAAACGTATGTATACGGATAGAATATCATAACTTAAGTACAGGATGATTTATGTATTGATTCACCCGGACTAAATCATAATACTGCTAGTTAAAATATAAAAACTATTCTTGCCAATATATACATACACATATACTATGCTACTTTTTAACTGTAAAAAAAATTGTAACCATAAAATTGGTTAGATTTTTTTGGACCATAAAATCTGAGAAGAAATTGGAAAGATCATTCCGATATTTAGTGAAACTAATGACTGAACAAGTAATGTCAAATATTTTAGTAGACGTATTTGTAGTCGACAAATATTGATTTGAGAAATATTCTCAAAATACTGTAATATATAATATTTATATATACAATTCCTTATTAATAACTTTAAAAATTATTTTAAATAATATTCAGTATCTACCGAATTGGTAATATATATATATATATATATATATATATATATATATATATATATATATATATATATATATATATATATATATATATATTTTAATTTAACACTTGTTGCAAAATTTCAGCTTCTATAAAATGCAACGCAAAACTCGTTTTAAAATTAGTAAACTGATTTATCGTTTTACTGTTCCCTTACCCGTAACTCTCTCTTTAATAAGATGCAAGAGTGACAGGTTTAGACTTTATAATTTACATAGTGATACCCACTATTGAAAATACTATAAAAAACAAAGTTTTAATTTATATCTTTCTTTTAAACTTATTACAAAGAAATATCCTTTTAATGTACATATGTAATGTTCAAAGCCTTATGAACAGTACTGTGAACCCTTATTCGTAAACAGCAGCGAACATGATTACTTTATTACTTTGATCACCGATACTCTCTTGCCATTGCTCACTAATTTAAATTCATGAAGGAAAATGCAAATTTATTAGGTGTATTTTCTTATAATTAAAATGGAACGTTTGCTTATTTATTTTTACAGCCCAAGATGGCTTACGTAATTAGATTAGGAATCTATCAAATGTTTATCATTTATACATGTTTATCTTATTAAATAAAAAAAACATACGTAAAAATTGTAACATTTTAAATCCAGTATATATCATTTTTACTTTTTGAATACTTTCACTTCTGAATACGAGCTCTTATAAAATAATCCGCTATCTCGTGACAGCAGTTTTAATACTTTATAAAAGCTTTTTTTAATGTTTTTAAAAGGACTTGTTTGGACAAAATATTTGAAAAATATGTTTAACAAGCAACGTACATTAAAAAGAAGTGCGAAATATGAAATATTCATACCTTGTATCCCGTCCGACACTGTTATAGGCTTGGAGTGTTCCCTTCGCCAGGCTATTTGAGGTGGTGGAGATCCCACCGCTGCACATGTAAGACTTATGGACTCTCCCTCACGTACCGTGACGTCAGTACTTGTGCCTCGATCGAGGATATCGGGAGGAACTGTTAATCAAAACTGAAACTTAATATTACTTCAATACAAAATACGTACATTTTGAATATTAAAAACAAAAGATTCTTATTATCAAAGATTATCTATGTCCAAGATATTTTCAGTATATTCAAATAAAAAAACCATTATACAGTTATACAAGCACAAGTATTGAGCAGAAATATAAAAAGGCAGTGTTAATGATTACAGATATAAGAGTATTTCTATGATATATATATAAGATAATAAATAACAAAAATTGGTTCAAAATATAAATTAAGTAGTCTTATGGACCTGAACAAATGAAATAATACATAGTTAATTATAAGTGTATAGTTGTAATAAATATTTTTTGGTTGCGTTAATTACACAAGTTGGAATACATTACCGACCAAATTTAATTATTCCAAGTTACCCAATCTATTTTAAGCTAAGTAAAGTTTAACTAACGTTCGAACTGGAATGTTACAGTGTAATTATATGCCTAGTTAAAGTTGCAATAAATCGTGACAATTACTATTATAACAGTTACTTGTATTATATAAGATAAATAAGACATTTATAGAATTAATTGTTGTTTTCGGCGGGTTTCAGGATCATTATTTCAACCATCCTTGGTTTACAGACTTACCCGCGGTAAATTATAAATTTCCTTCCTATAACAATTTTAGAAAAATCATTATTAGCACTCGCTATACGTTCGTTATTATAATGAGCTCTTTTATAAGATGTCTTGCTTCTAGGCCTTCTGGTTTATATTGCATGTAGTCTATCAGTCAGTCACTGACAGAAATAGAGAGTAAAGAAGAGTGTTTTATTAAGTAAAAAATAACATACGAGAGTTTCCACTATAGAGCTGACAACACACACATGTGGCTGCAAACTTCGAAAACATCCCTACCATGTTCATTTAAAAACTTTATGCAGTTAATTATTGTTTCATCTTATTCAACTCAATTATATATATTTTAATAAACTGAATACAGTTAGTACATAGATTGTACTTGAGAATTTAAAGATAATTTTAAGTTTCACCTAAGTACTTAATTAGATATTTATTAAAAATTATTTTACTTCATTTAAATATAAAAAAGTACAAGTATTAATATCATTACATCATTTACTGTACATAGGTATTGGCCATTAGTTGGCACTTTAGAACGTTGGCAACTGTATAGGTTGTTTGAAGATCATGCGAAATAATACCGCGGTTACGCCGGAAACTCCGGCTTTTTATTCCTATAGTCCCCTTTTACGACACCCACGGGATGAGACGGGTTGGCCTATTCTATAACAGAGTCTTCTGCACCAAATATAAAAGCAAAACATCACTCGCTCACTGATTCATCACGAAATCTGAGAAATATAAAGGCTGTAATATGGTGTGCACGTGTTTCTCATATCGTTGAAAAGGGTATATATATATTTTTTTGTAATATTTAGCCTCTTTTCTTGGCATATTAGCCAAAAAAATTAAATTAAATTAAGTTTCAATATTTAAATTACTTCCTAGAATAAATAACCCCACATTGTTATAGTAAAATGTCACTTGTTCTTGAAAAATACATTAAATTTTCCATGTCGACGATTTATAATTTTGTAAAGGTTCATAAATCTATCAAAAAACATCAAGTCGAAATATTGAGAGTATATATAACTGTCATAATGAGGTTCAGAACTAGTTTCTGAGTCAAACAATTTTTTTTTAATTGATTAATACTCTAAATATATGTACTTGTAAATGTGTGAAACTTGTAATAATATTATAAAATGTAAAATACATACTAAACAAATTGAATTAAAATTTTGTTCACAAATGAACCATGTCCTACATATTTTCATTCTAACTCCTGCAAGAAAAACCGCAAGTTATAAACAGAATTGCATATAATTTCGTATTCGCCAACTTTATATTATCAAGCAGAGCATTTCTGGTAAATAGTGATTGTTTAAAATGTAGTACTATGTTTAAATAACTTAGTACACGTACATACTTACGCAACATCGCAACTTTTACTATTTGTACTAGCACTATCTCTAACCATATAAACAGAACAAATAGTTTACAGTGGCTTTCAAAGTACCAGTCAAATATTTGAAAATTGCTTTAAACATTTGTACGGATTGAACTATCGGTATGTTACCCTTGTGTGCAAAGCAACCACTTTACCCTAAGGCTAACAGAGGTATTCAGTTTAAATATTCAACTATAGGAGACCGAACGTATGGGAGAAAATTGCATGAACAAAGTAGGATTATATTCTGAAGCAAATCAATACTTATGCAATAAAATTGTATAGTATTGTAACTAATGTACAAAGTGCAAGTTCTTTTACAACTTGCATTTAAAAAATGAGCCGACGACCCGATAAAAACTAATGTCACAATATATATATATATATATATATATATATATATATATATATATATATATATATATATATATATATATATATATACAATATTTATTTATTTGGAAAACCAACAGCTTTTCCAACAATAACAGTAAATATAATAATAACAATAATACTTTTTGTGAAGCGAAACTAAATGTCAAATAGATATTTGTTAGCGAGTAGCAAATATTTATAATTAACCGAATATATTAATTCCATTAATTTTATACATACCCGTCAGTGAAACACAATGTAGAATAATTTCCCACTAGATACAACTACCTAAAATGTATTGCAGGGAGTCAGTCAAGGAGACAGCTGGGTCAGAACAAAAGAAAAGCCTTTTAGTAATCTATGAGGGAGACACATATTCAGCAACGAACAATTAACGTCAGAAATATAAATAATGATGACGCCTCTCAATTTAGACGCTTGCACAACATTCTTACCCACAACGTCCAAATATCCAAGTTGACTCTTCATTGGGTCGGTGTTGATCTGACACATGTACCACCCTCTATCGGTCTCTCTCAGCTCCCTAATATGCAAGAACCAAACTCTGTGATCGCTGTGGGTCACGCCAACTCTGCGACTCCTCGATATCACATGTGTGTGAATTGTTAGAATGGTTTGTGTATCCACGCGTAACCACGCAACCTATAACAAATTATAATTTTATTAAAACTGAGACCCACTATTCTTATCTATGAGCCGGAAGGGACCTGAAATTCCAATGAGGTTACTATACTTTAACCAACCACGCAATGCTTTATTAAGTTTCATGAATTTAATTTCACATAAACATTGTTTATAATCTAATCTACAGATACCAGATACGCTACAGTTGTATTATACAACATATATACACAATAAATAAATAAAAAAATCACTGCGTTTCAAGTAAATACTAACTTAATTTTTTTTATATTGTCACATAACTTCTGTATATAATTATTTCCTATTTATAATAGAAACACTCTATAATTAACTTATCAAAAGGGCCTGTTATACTATCATCAAATTATATTTATGATTCCGTTTCGTTCGTAGCTATTTACGAAGCTATGGTTTCAATGGTGGTAAAAGGAAAGTATTTATATATAATTAACCTTATTAAAATTTGATCAAGACAAGACATTTTTAATGGCATTTTAGAATCTTTTTTTTTAACGATAAAAAGTTCAATAATAAAAAATGGTACATAGGAAAAATTAATCCAAACTAGCTAATAGATAATATAAAATGCTAAACATGAACAAAAGACATCGCAGAAAACTGCACCATCCATTACTCTGCACGTGCATGTGTTACCCCTCCCAAGAACTAACGCATTGTGCCTCTAATACTGTAATAGCCCATCTTAAACCGAGACACAATGAAACACCCACCTCTGCCTCACGGCTTAAATTCTACAATACAGCTGTTTCGTTAGTATTTTTCAATTTTTTATTGCAAATTATAAAATAAATACCAATTTTTACTTTAGATTTTATTAAAATATGCGTATTCTACGAGTAAGTATGTTTATACTAAGAAAAAAACAAGTATTATTATTTTTGGATAATATAAAATTAAACTTTTAACAATATGAATAAGTATTATATTAAATTTGTAAAACTGTATTAAATACTTAAAACTTCCAAAACATATGAAAATAACTGATAAATAAGTTAACGTTATAACGTTAATTATGTCTATAAAGTTGACCATAAAAAATAATTTACGACCCTTAAAATTTGGTACATACCTACGTTCGTAAATACTTGTCTCTGTAATATGTGCAAACCATAATCTGACTTAAATGCAACATTGCCGACTCCCTAACTCTTAAACTACAACTTTGTATACGTTCGAACTACTTAGATTATACACTTTGCTCCGCTCAACATGTTGTTTAAGAGCCGGTTGCTAGCGATCTTGGAAATTCAGACTGTACTTAACTTTAACAAACAGGAAGAGAATCGGAGTTTTATTGAGAAGATTACAAGTCATTTTGTAACTTGTTTGAAATTATTTTGGTAAGCTAACACCTTTTGCTCTTTTTATGTAATGTAATGTATTTAGTTTTTTTTTTTTTTTACTTTTTATACATAATATTATAAAACTTAGAATAACAAACGGCCAACCTTATAAAAAGTGACATCACCTACAAACATAAACAATACTATGATCTTCACAGAATACACTGTGATGCACATGGTACTCCTTTCTCATACGTTACCATTTTTAAAGACTGTGGTGTTATATGTGTTCTATGTGTTCGCCGTGTCAGTCCTGGCATAAAATGGGTTTAACTGCGGTTGCCAACCCGCCTACCAAGCGTGGCAACTATTGGAAAAATGGTAAACACCATAAAAAAACGGTCATAGTAACGGCGGAGCAGGAGGTGCTAAGAATCTCTAGCAAAGATTCCGCTATCTGCCAAGACGTTTGGACCTGGAAACGAACTTTGAGGACTGATGAGAAGATTGTGGAGCTGGAAGAAGTGATACTGGGATATCATAAGATTATCTGAAGTACCACCGAGAGGGCGACCATCCGTCGCATAGTGACGTCCGGTTCATCGTCCGCAAGTCCCTCACCAATAATGTCTTAAAGATCAAGAGTGTGTCCGCAAGGGTGATATACCTGATATACAGAAGTACCAAAAGGTATACACTGAAGATTATACAAGTATATGCGTCGACCGTGACACACTCTGATGATGAGATGGAGACAATATATGAGGATATTACAAGAGCCGTATATTTCTCTAATACTCAATAATAGTATTAATGGGAGACTTCAACGCTAAACTGGGCACAAGGAAAAACGATAAGATGAGAAAGGGGGAACTACAGTATCGGGAAACGAAATAACATCCAAAGGGACAGCATGGCTGACTTCATGGAGAAGGAGGTATGATGAACTCCTTTTTCCAAAAGCGACCAAACAGAAAACGGACCTGGGCTGGTCCCGATAGATACACAAAAATTGAGATAGACTTCATCACGACGATAAATCGCTTATTAAATTTTGTTCTATTTCTCAGTGATCAATAGGTTTAAAACCGGAACAAATGGCGATTAGTCGTCATGATGAAGTCCCATTTTTTATGTATTTGTCGGGACTATTCCAGATCCTTTTATTGCGTGATTGTTTTTAAAAGTAGGGGTTCTTTCTCCATAAAATGAGCTAATTTCTGTCCCCTAGGATTTCATTGCCTGATACCAAAGTTCCCCATCCTATATCCGCCTTTCCTTTGCCCAGTTTAGCGTTACAGTTCCCCGTAAATACTGTGTATTGTGTATTAAAGAAATTAATGTCTCTTAAAACCTACCTACCACTCTTGCCGACATTATTGCGGACGATAAACCCAACACCACCACGGGACAGCTGGTCACTCTCCCGGTAGTAAAACAAGTTACCCGATTCAAAGATTATCGTATCCTCTTCCTATCTTCTAGTTTTAGATAATCTTATAAAGTCCTAGTGTAACTAGTTTACTTCTTTTTCTAGGTTCACCTCTTCTTCTAGATCCGCAATCTTCAATCTGTCCTCAAAGTTCATGTATTATATTTAACCAATCGTTTTTGTTGGTAGCCGAATCTCTTCTAAGGATTCTTTGCACCACTTGCTCTACCGTTCCAGTGACCGATACCTTGATCCGAAATAGCGGAGCCACCAGGAGCGGGGGGCCATTTTTGATGTTTACCGTTAGAGGGGTTTTTTCAGTTATTGTCACACATGGCAGACGAATTGGCAACCGAAATTAGGCTTTTGGTGATGTATTAAAAGAGATGCTGCTGCCCATCCCTTGACCATAACTTCCCTTAGTTGCCTCTTACGACACCCATGGAAAAGGAAACCACACAGTACCTTTAACTTATAATTAAATAATAATATATATAATTATTATTATAAATATATTTGTATTGAAATAATTGCTTATTAATATATATTATAAACTTTAATAAACAAAATTTACATTTTAAAATAATTTACACTGGTTCAACATAAATGTTGTTATGCGGAGAGTGACATGTAACTCACCACCCGTCACGTTGTCACCATAAAGTACCTACATGAGACACGAATGTTTAAAATGATACGCGTTAGACACGGGTCTACAGATTTAATTTTTCCAAGCTATTATCATAAAGTAGACTATATTATCATAATATCACTTACAAAACATGACAACTAAAACTATATTTTTGTGATTCAGTAACAACTATGAACATTGCTGAAAACCGCATTTGCTGTGGCTCCACAGTTCCAAGGCAAATCTCTTAACATCTCTAAAAGCATTGGGATCCTTGGTGTCGACATCTCTAGTGATGTACAGTTCCGTGGCCACCTCGAAGATAGGGTAAAGCTGGCATCTAAAAAACTCGGTGTGCTCAATAGAGCGAAGCATTACTTCACGCCGGATCAGCGATTAATGCTGTACAAATCGCAAATCCGGCCCCACATGGAGTATTGCTGTCACTTACGGGCCGGAGCACCTAAATACCAGCTTGAACCTTTCGACTCGTTGCAACGACGAGCTATGAGAATTGTCGATGATCCCAGGCTCACAGGCGGTATCGAACCCTTAAATCTTAGGAGAGATTTTGCCTCACTCTGCGTGTTCTACCGCCTGTACAATGGATTGTGCTCAGAGGAATTGTTCAATATGATGCCCACAGCCACTTTCTACCATCGTACGGCTCGCCATCGACGGGGAGTTCATCCTCATGTCCTACAGTCTCAATGGTCGCGTACTGCGCGGTTTCAGAGATGTTTCCTCCCACGAACACTCAGGTTGTGGAATGAGCCCGCTGCCGAGGTTTTCCCAAGAGACTACAGCATGGGGTTCTTCAAAAGGGGGGTAAAGAGGTTTCTTCAGGGTCGACAACGCACGCGTTACACCTCTGGTATTGCAGGTGTTCATAGGCTACGGTAACCACTTACCATCAGGTGGGCCGTATGCTTGCCACCTCAGTGATATATAAAAAAAGCCTTATTATTACAGTTTCGATTTGTTCGGTAAAAGAGTAATGCAAAATATAATATAAAATTCTGTGCTCTTATTTTTCTAATACATAGAAAATATAATGACATAACCTTACATCTACGTGCTATGAATATCAAAAACAAGTCATTAAAAAATTACTTAAAGATAAAAATAATATAATTACATAACCTAAGTTAATAAAAATAATCCTTTTTTATTATAAGTAGTAGTAATTTACTATTTTTGTAACCCATGGAAATAATTTTATAATTTTGTTTATTAAGATAACGCTATAATAAATTCCAGATTTATGTTTTTTGAAGTGTAGATAAGAGAATTGATATAAATATTTACACTTTGCAAATTGTTTAGCTTATAAATTGTAATTAAATTAAAAAATTCATTTGTTGTAACAAATGAATTTTTCAGCCATTATCCGTCCACTGCTGGATATAGACCTCCCCCATAGATTACTGTAAGTAACCGTTCTGAGTCACCTGCATCCATTGATGCCCTACAATGTATTTCAGGTCGTCACTACATCTAGTAGGGTTCGTCCTAACATATGAATACAACTATATAATACAGAAGGACGAGAAAGAAAACTCAAATCAACATAATATGCCGAACCACCTGATCATCGTGACGTCAAGGTTTTCCTATTAGGAAAACAGACCTGCTTGCCAACATTAAAACACATATTATTACATATGATTCATGTTTTATTATCTCTGAAGTCTTTAGCAAAGGAATAGGACCTATTACAATAGTCATATTTTTCTTATATTATAAACTAGCGACTCGCGCCGGCTTCGCACGGATACAATACTGAACCCACGCTTATCCCTAAGAGATAGACATATACCATCGCGGACTTTTTTATTGACCTTTTTAAGATGTACAATACTGTAGTACATTATTTTGATCTATCTCGTGGAGTTCAGTTAGCGTTTGCAATATAAACGCAAAAAATGTGTTTATTTACGACATCACATTAGATACCTCTAAATTTGTCAGTATTCCTCTACTATATTATGCATGTATTATACATATAAACCTTCCTCTTGAATCACTCTATCTATTAAAAAACTACTTCAAAATCCGTTGCGTAGTTTTAAAGATTTAAGCATACATAGGGACGGATAGACAGCGACAGCGACTTTGTTTTATACTACGTAGTGATACAAACAATTACCTTATATGTTGATAAATTGTGTACGGTGCATGCTAGAATGGCCTCCCGTCCAAGGGGAGCGGTGACATTAGCAATCGGCCCACTGAAGCCCGGTTCGTCTGCAAAAATCCTAAATATTAATTTGAAGCTTTTTTTAATCTTAAATATCTATTATCTAATACGAAGAGAAATGTCCAAGTTGATCTTTTAGAAAAAGCAACAAAGTCTATCTGATATTTCGTACAAATATTTCTATGTATCATCATCGAGACAGCCTTTAAAAGAATTAGATTTGAAAAAACAAACGAGATCGGGAGAAACCCTTCACATTTATAATTTATAATACTTGTAGGAAAATGGGATTAATTCATTACCCATAAATATAAACATAAGCGTTTTCTACCTATTTATATGTAAAAAGAAATTTGAGGAGAGATTTATACATTAAACAGGTACCCTTTCGTTTATTGAAGGCAAATATTTAAATAAAATTATACTTTATTAAAAATTTTACTATCCCTATCGATAGTATATAGATAAAAATAAGACATATTTACAATTTTAGAATAATACTGAAATGAGTAAAAAACTTTCTGTTTGGTATTAAATTAGGTAAATAAATAAAGGGCCAATCGTAGTATATATATATATATATATATATATATATATATATATATATATATATATATATATATATATATATATATATATATATTTATTATATATATATATATATATATATATATATATATATATATATATATATATATAAATGTTAAGCTTGAAAAATTATTCACTAATTAAAAATTTTACATGACTTATTTTATTTATATTGTACATAAACTTTAATCTTCTGGCAAATTCCCTTTTGTTTGTGAACAAAAGCACAAATTTAATCAATTCATTAAAGAACCTTGTTCCATGATTTACTATACAGGATTATTTCAAACAAACCGGCATTATTTCAGACCTAAGTTCCCGCGTATTCCCAAATCCTTCTTCATGTCTTCGCTCGTTTGACGTTATGATAAAGAAGCTTTTAAATAAATCTTGTACTGGCCACGTATACGTCCTTAATACCATACATAGCCCAAATTTATACTAAGAATGTGTTATTGTTTGATAACTTGTATCTGAATCCTTCTTTGAATTGAGAATAATTTGATTTTGAAGTTCAAAAGATAAATTATAAAGATACGCCATTTACAAATATTATACGTACTTAGGTATATGCCACAACGCAACTAAGTACAGACATTAAATAAAATATGTAAAAGGATTTGAAAATGTATAATGTAATATACGTATAATAATTAATTTTATTTTGTGTATCTTCTGGAAATAAATATCTTGGAATCATATCAATAATTCAGGAGCATTGAAAACAAGGTCCTTTTTACTCTGGATTATAACCATAAGAATATATACTATGTGCTATGCTACGCTGTGACTGCTGCAACTACTATTACGATGTCTCACGTTTCACAGACGCGTTGTCAGGACACAATCCTTGTAACTCTAATACTACAGGAATAGAACGTTAATAAAACTTAGCGGTACTTATACGGTAGAGATATTTTCCAAAAACTTAATATGTACATACAATTGACTGTACAGATTCAATTTTGTGTATATTAAAATACATATTTAGTTTCCATGTATGGTTAAACATTTAGAGCTACTTAGTTTTTCAAATTTAATTTATATGCTACTAACTTCTACCCGTGACGTTAACAGTTAAAATGCTAAGAGGTAACGAACAAACAAACACGCTTTCGCATTTTTAATATTAGTAAGAATTATATTCAACAACATGCTATGGAGTAAAAAGGAAGTAAACCACCAAGCTACATACGTTTAAACTTCGACCACAAATTGTTCTTGTCATCAATCAAAAACAACAGCAACAATGATATTTTTTTTTCTTATCAACCGCTTAATATCAACTACTAAATAGTTAAAGCCGTTAACGTTCATGTTGATTTAATTTAAAGTGGCATTACGCGTGTTAGTTTATTATTGTATAGTTTAGACGAGATTAAAAATAGCATGCATTCTTGTAAAAAACAAAAAATGTACGAGTCCGCATTGTCGTGCGATATATTGCAATTATTATTTTCTTTATGTTTGTTAAATCAAAGCTCTTGACTACCAAAATAATTCAAATTTGCGAAAACATTATAGGCTATGTCGGAGAATGGCCTTTTAAATTGATCATATTGACCATATTCTGCATCCAATGACGAACCTTACAACCAATGACGGTAAATGATTGTACAGAATGTAAAATCTGTATATATATTATAATATGTGTCTATTCTTCTTCTTTTTTCATCCCTTGTCCAATCCCTTGTCCTCCTCATTTTTGCGATTAGATATTCAATATTGGGTTGTTATTTCTGGCAATTGGACTTTTCTATAGTTATATTTTATGACTGCCTCCTACTCATGCTGGAGTTTTAATAAAACTAAAAAAAGAATGATGAGTAAAGACATTGTAGCTGCCTCTATTCATCGTTTTTATTCCTATTTTTTATACTCCAACATGGCATTTTTCATAGCGCTCATATAATAGGATCCGGCAAAACATATCTATAACGGAAATAGGTCAACGTGACTGTAATGATACAAATACGATACTTATATTTCATTTCAGGGTTTAGATTCTCCAATAATTGGCCTGTAGAAAACTCAGATTACAATTAATTATTATGAATAACATAAAAAAAAAATTTTCTTCTCAAGGTGCTCTATTCTCCTTAAGTTTTTTTTCAGAATGTTTTTACATCAAATTCAAAATTTGAAGCTTTTCATTTTGACTATATTTTATGCGCGTATGTACGTAAGTTCAATGTAAGATATATATATATAAAGATTACAATAGTAAACTTATTATAGATACAAACAATTACAAGAAATAATATCAATGAGAAAACAATCGACGACTTTATCGCATTATATATGCAAAGTCTGACCAGAATTTGATATTTTTTTTGCAATCGATAGGGTTTACTATCATGTTATTCCTATATTTTTGACGAATATATATTTCCCAACTTATGCATTTGAAAACAAGAGAAACAGAAACAAAAAATTTAAATTTGTTCATTTTTTACAAAACTATTTCGACTCTGTATATTCAAAACAAATTGTCATTCATCACTGGGAATGTTTCACTATCCCGTAGGATCGGAAGAATTCAGAGCGATGAAATATTTTAGGTAAATAAATGTTACATAGAATGCTTATTTAGATTTGAATATTCCAAATTCTTTATTATATATGGCAAAATATCTCTTGAAAATGTCAGATTTAGAAGAACAGATCAAAGAAAACTGTCTATAGCTATAGCATAGAAGGTTCTCAATCTAGATTAAACAAGTATAGGACAAAAATAAACTAAATCACAAAATAGTACCTAATGAACATTAGATTTATAGCCACGCACAAATACAGGCATATGGTCTTGTTTCGGATATCAACCACGAAACCAAAATTATTTAAGTGACTTTGAAAGTAGGACGTTCTCGTTTTCACCGTATTTTTTGTAAGTAAATACATTACGTGACAACTTCAGTAAATCAGAACCGCATTTTGACAATTATTTTTAAGACATACCTTACCTTAGTAATTGATCTACCATAATTAAATAAATCTTTATTATATTATGATTTAGAAGTCATAAATTTTTGAAATAACTGTGCTTGCTTGATATAATAAAAAAAAAACCTACGTTCAGCAGTGATTAATTAACAGCTGAAATAAATTCTTGAATAAATACAACCATGCACTTAAACCACAAATCTGCTGAACCCTATTAATGCTTAGATATTCTTGGAGTTTGGTTAAATTTTCCTTTCTCCAGAAAATTTGTCAAAACTTTTGAACGTGAATTATGACATGACATGATTTTGCAATTGGTAAACTAATCTTATTCGAATAAATTGGATAAAGCTATTTCAGGACTTCCAATTACATAAAGGACCCAGAGGTTGGAAACCCTAAAATATGATATTTAATAAAAATTAATAGGTGATGATGATGAATAAGTAATATGATAATTTTTATGTAACTTGTGGAAAGACAAATAAGCTGATAGCCAACCTAATAAAAATGAAAACCGTCTAAATCTCAACGTATATTGTGATACCCACGATACTGCTCTTGATTCTATTTCTAAGAACTATAACCACTCCTTTAATTTCAAAACAATACGAGTATAACCATGCAGGTAAAATAACGATTTGTGGGCGGGCATGAGTGGAATAAGACGCAGAGAACTTTTGAAAAAATTTACAAAAGCAAATAACGAGAATTTAGGATCCGATCAAGCTTCACGTAGAAAAACAAGCGTTTATCGAAAAGTCCTTACATTTTCACGAAACGTTTGCTACTGCTAAACTTAATCGTCATATATGTACGTATCTCTGATAATTTAACAGACCCTATTTATTCATATTTTTTTTAGTTACTAATAAAAAAAATTGAAACATATTTAAAAACCATTTTCTCGTTTAATGTATTCTAATATATCTTCTTAATGCGACTGTAATGCCGTTCCTGATATGTATAACTCCATATTAAATATGCTTAAAATTATTTCAATTTATCACAGTTTCTACCGTTAAATATTTATCGCGATAAATATATACGTATCTTTACTTAATCTTAAACAACTTTTTAATAAATAAATGAATGTATGAAACTCTTTATTTTTCCTTTCAAAGAATAATATAGGTTATAAAAATAACTTTATAATTATAACCTTACATGGTTTTATACTCGTAGTATCTGAAAACTGAAAACAAGTAAGTACATTGAAAGGTAATATTTCTTGTTAATAATGCTTACTATATGTACCTATATGGTTTTGCAACTTATCATAACTTATTTATCTATTTTTTATCAATATTGTTTCACAATATTTCATTGTAACACTGTCGTGTGCAGCCAACAAGTAAACATCAATCAATTTCAATTGATTGAACGGAGAGAAATAAATGTAAATAAACCTTTGATAATGCCTTAAAAGGGCGTAAATGGACAAATAATAATAACATTTTGTGGAAGAGTACTTTTTTAAAAATAAAATATACTTTATAATGAAGAACCAATAACGAACATTTAAGAGAAAAGTACCTATATGAATACTTAATGAGTATTTATGATAATTATTTCCTTCATACTAATGATGATAATGATACCATATTTACGAGACTCGTTTCCTTCACGATAACCTATTATTACAAAAATTCCTGCGTAATATTCTGTTGATTTCATAGAAACAATATGCACGACATTGTTTCTTTCCAAGTGTAATTCGATAAGGTACTTAACTTAAGAACGCTAGTGTGTGAGTCGAGGTGAGGCGTTAATGCCAAAATACCCTTTAATAAACCGTGTTTTTATTAAATTAGTTTTGTGGCACGCGACTCACGAAACTAAGCATACGAAGAAATTCAGGTCAAACTGACATAGGTTGGAATTATATAATTCACCTGCTTACCCTTTTAATTTATACTATATCAACAAGAAAATATTCCTGGAAAAATATTGATATGCACTTAAACTTCCCAGTCTAAATGCATTTTAAGATTTCATATATAATTAAATTTATATTCTGCGATTATTCATTTATAAGTTTTTTTTTAATTTTATTCTTTGAAATTTATAATTTTACACCACATAAGATTATCATACTTTGATGGAACTAATTTAACTAAATAATGTTTTCATAATATGAAAATCACTATATAAACACTAATACCTATTGTATATAATTTTCCAATTTGTGTTAATTTAGTAAACACGTAGAAGAAAATAACGAATTCAAATAACTATAAACTAATCAACCATTGCGTGTTAAATATGAGGTAAAATTGGTCCACTTATAGACCTTACATGAATAAGAGTAAATACATACAAGTGTATACTTCCAACTATAAGGTCGTCGAACCAACACTTTGTAAATCAAATTGTCCTACCCTTGAAGTTATTCGATTGTATCGAATTATTTCAAGGGCAACACAATTTGATTTATTGTTTTATGAATGTCAGGGATATTTAACGTGATTGTTGTAGTTAAAACTAGGCTTGTTGAATTTCCGACGTTGTCACTGACAAATTAGGAGCACGCCCCGACGGTCCCTACCCACACTAATTGACTGCGCGTCAAAAGTGATAATCCAAGTATAACAAATGCCATAAAAGCATTCATTTTGCACAACATGAAATATATACACTTAATCCCAATATACTTCATATTTTTCTTACAGAAACTAGCTATGAAATAATGAACAAAATTTTACAACAAAATCTTTATCTACGTAATATTAAAATATTTTAATAAATTTAAATTTATTTACTTTAAATATAACAATAATAAGTTAATTATATTTATAGAAAATAAATTATAATTTTTAGACACTAAACTAACTTTTCTTGCAATTTTTAATCCCTTACTTACTTAACACCAATACTGCATTGAAAATAGTAATATTTAAAGGTGATTTTAAAAAATCTATTGTCTAAATCTAGTCAATATTTTCGTTAAAACAATGACAAAACAATTAATGTTTTGTCATTATACTTAATACTAATTAATAATTACTACCTACTAGTACATAAATTAGAGTAAGTATTGACTAACTGAATATTGTATATTTTCCTCGCCTATAAAAAATTTGGTTGTGACTAGAGCTGTGATTTTACAGAGCAATTACTTCAGTAGCAATATTCTTAACATGCTACACATGGCTGCACGTGATGATTAGGCAAGTGACCTAACGAGCTTTGAAAGTTGTGTTACCTATAAACGTCGTTATAAATGTTATGTTATAAATACACAATCTAAAAATAAATTAAAAGTCCTGTACTTTTTAAATTCAATTTCAACTGAAATATTGGTGTATTTTTTTTTTTATTATAATAAACATCCCAAACATGTCTTATCGTTTCCGGCGTATAAATTTATTATAGTTATTTTTATAGTTATTTTTCTCTAATCAATCTTAAATACTTCAAATAAATAAAATACTATATTGACATAATTGTTCATGTAGTATATATATATATATATATATTCGGGGCATTTGTGTGGAGATTCTGTCTATATAATCTAAAACTTGACCAATTAAATTATAAAATCGATTATTTAATTTAATGAATTAATTTATTTTCAAACTGTTTATAATTACTTCTCTCCATCCAAAGGTTGTCTGGAAGAGATCGCTTTTAGTGATAAGGTCACCCATTTGTTTTCTCAGTGTGATTATTTCTTGTAATTTGTTTATATCTATAATGAGTTTGCTATTGTAATCTTTTAGAGGAAACAATCAAGAATATCTATCTATCTATCTGTCATACTGCATTGCACAATGTAGTATATAAATACTACATAGTATTTATATACTACATTGCAAAAAAAATTTAGTTATGTCATATTTATATGACGATTTTCAAAGGAAATCATACCCTAACAATGCCTTCCCTACCCTCACCCGTTAAATGCCTGTACTTATTAGATATAAATATATTTTATACCTAATATTTTAAATAAGAAAATTAATAATTACATATTATATCTTTAAATTATTCGACTAAATAGGAGCATAATTCCTTGATAACGTAAATTTTAATTTCAAATGTTTATGAAATAATACATATCTTAGAATGATTTTTTTGAGCCAAATATAATATTAACACTTAATTCCTTAATCATAAAAAATTTAAATACGTAGACCCTATCATTATAAAAGTATTAAAATGTTAAAATTTAAGTAACAAATTTTCCATACTTACTAATACTTGGATTGAATTTATGTTATTCTAGATTACATACAAAAACTTGTTACTTAATCACGCCTAAACGACTGAAGGGAATTTAATTAAATTTGATGCATAATTAACTTATATCTTACTTAAGTTACATTCTATCGCAATGCACTATGCGAATCATGTTTGTATATAATAAATTATAAGCATAAACTGTATAACACAACATGGATAACTATCACTAGGTTTAGTCGATTCAATATCTACGTTGCCAGACAGTGAAGGCCATTAGAAATAAGTTTGGATATGTTGTTTTGATATATACTATGTACACATACTTAATACAGTTAACGATCTAACCTGTTGTTTTGATTTATTATTTATATAAAAATATTTTTGTAACTACTTTACGTACGTTTTAGGTAAGTACTACTGTATTTTGTTGCAAAAAGTTTCAAGAGCATTAATGTATGCGTGTACTATTTAATATGTTGGTGCTTACGAAACAAATTTAGATTTTTATGCAATAATGCAAGCATTACTATCAGATGTAAACACAACATAAGTTTACAACTGATAGTAAGCTATACAAATACAGATAGCTATTTATATATTTCGATCGTCACCAGCTTATTTACAATTGCCTCAAATATAAAAAAAATAGTCGTTAACATATGAGAACTACAATTTAATAAGTAATTTCCCAAACTATCCATTTATATTCTACTGAATGTAGTATTTACTCGTCTAATTTTCATAATTATAACGTTTACTGTAGGTATCTAACGTTTTAAAATTTATACTTATACTATATATGAAACTTTTTTTCTTTTGTATCTAACGATATAAAAGAAAAAAAGTTTCAAGAACATGTTAAAATATTTTTAATACCGCCAGCTACATAATTAGTGTTATGATAGTGCTTGACTAATTAAATAACAAAGATCCAAAATTTACTTGTATGTATTGAAGTGTCTTTATGATATACATAATTTGTATATGTTTAGAATAATAAATAAAATCATTCATTTTTAATTATTACCATGTTAAAAAACACTAAAATAGTATCTACTTATATTTACTCAATCTCTGTAGCTCTATCAAAAAAGTTTAATATTAAATAAATGAAAGGCACATTAATTATGTCAATTATTCCGTTATCTGGATAGTACTTAATTATGAGTATATATTAAAATTACCTAAGGTAAAAACTTACAAAGATTTTATTATTTTAATAGAAATAAATATTTTATTTTTAATATCTTATAATTATCCTCCACATTATGGACAACCTTCTATTGCTTATTTTGAATTTGTTAATTTATATATTTGTATTACGCTAAATATATATATGACAATACAGAATCATGTAATGTATCTATATAAATTTAAATGCTAAAACCATAGTATAACATAAATTTAACTGTATATTGTATTTACTTACGAGCTGTAGCATCCGTAGTGCCCGCCAACAACCAATCCAAAACAAGTAACGCCAGCAATATCTTTCCGCTTTTAATTAGGGTCGAGTGACAAAAGTACATGTTTACAATAGACAATTTCGTTCTCATTCGTAATAATTAATTACTTTCTCAACGAACAACGTCAATATTTTCATATTTTTATATATCGCAGACCCATGGTGGGCGCCAATATATATGTATCGATTACGTAAATCTCAAATTGAGTATTATAACCTTTGTAAAATAAATAACGGCACTTAACTGCGATCATATAATCATAGTTTTATCATAGAAAAGTAATCATCTTGTAATGGAATAATAAAACTTATTTTTGGTGAATCGTAAAAGTAAAAATATTTAAATGTAAGACACGGTAAACAATATTTGAATTGCATTTGACACACGCAAAAAAGTGATTAAGGGGGTGGTCAACTTTGGAAACATGTAATATTTTCCCGATATCTCGTGAAAAGTTTGATACGCGACATCCGATTAGGGTGTCGCACGCGACCGCCTTCGGCGAAGGCTCGCAGATAACTAGTGCAAGCAAGCCGTTTGCAGCGACTACCTATAGCACCACCCCTTTTCGCTATTGCTATCTCTCTCGCATGTAGCAGGCAAACGTACGATTCATAAAATAACCCCAGCTTATAACCTTCTGATTCTGACATTTTCTTTCATAGTATTACGGATATAATAATGACTTTATTGGCGTGGGACTAAATAAAAGGCGATGAAAACTGAACATTTCGAATGTCAATCCCAGATTACAAAGGATTTATTAGTACTCAATCAAAAAAATTATATGAACAAAAATAGTAACCTAGTCGGTAATAAAAATAAAAATGTGCAAACAACGTTTTCTTATAAATTAAGCGCAGAGGATTGTATCCTCTAATCCTATCCTGTTAAGTTTAATATGACATATATAAGATGAATTCGTATGATACATGAGTAAACCATAACATACATTAGGACTATAAAGGGATATGTCGGACATTACACTATATGCTCAATTTTTATATAAGTACATAATATCTTTATAAATAAAAACAAAATAAAAAAGTTGTAGATACCCTACATCTTATCGTTAAATGAGCATTATAGCTAAATACAACTTACGTTTTATAAACCTATAAATAACTAATATTTGTAAACAGCCACCTTCATATTTCTTTTAATAATTTTATGTATATAATAGAATTTTATGGATAGTAATCTAATCATAGCGCATTGTTAATTTTCAAAGGTTTCACGAGGTACTTGCGGTCAGGCCCTTGTGGCCGTAAGTGATATAAGTAATGAATACTTAACGGGCCACTTCCTCACAAAATTGTAACCACATATTGACGTGAATATTGTATTATTTTAACAGAACGTACCTCTAATAAAAATAATCCTAAAACATAACAATAAATCGGTACTTCATAAATACCTTAAAATGTGTTATCATTAACCCATCGCATGTAATTATGAAGCTACCGGAGTTATTTTATCATAAACCTTCATATGAAATATCTATATATATATTTTTTATACCACTGAAGTGGCAAACAAGCATACGGCCCACCTGATGGCGGTTACGTGGTTACCGTAGCCTATGACACCTGCAAAACCAGAGGTATTACACGTGCGTTGCCGACCCTGAAGAAACCTCTTTACCCCCCTTTTGAAGAACCCCATGCTGTAGTCTCTTAGGAAAACCTCGGCAGGGAGCTCATTCCACAACCTGAGTGTTTGTAGGAGGAAACATCTCTGAAAGCCCGCAGTACGCGACCATTGAGACTGTAGGACATGAAGTTGAACTCCCTGTCGATGATGTACGATGCCGTACGATGGTAGAAAGCGGCTGTGGACATCATATTGAACAATTCCTCTGAGCTCAATCCATTGTACAAGCGGTAGAACACGCAGTAAATTCTATATGTTTAATAAATATCTATATGGTTAATCATAATGGACCCGAAACTCGATGATTGTATCAATGAAACTGAATAATTAAAAAAAGGAATACTCAAAATCAGAAAACCTTTTTTCCAACTTCTCTTACTAAACTGTCTTATATGGAAAAAAAAATATTTTGAGATTTGTAATTTGTTCTTTGGCAAAGTTATTTACTTTCATGAACAGTAGCACTCTGAGTTTCAGCTTGGTGTACCCTTAAAGATAACCCTGCATAACCATAATAAGTAGGTACTGGGGTAAATGGATTTTTAGTAACGGGAATCTAATAGACCCATTGCTAACCATATACCCTATCAGATCGATCTCCACGTGGTTGTCCCTGAAAAATATCGTGGTTAATTCTTGTCAAATTGGTAACTAGGACCAACTGGCACGTTTTCATAATCACCTATCATCTCTCATTGGTGCCTCAAACAGCATATACAAAAAGCGCAGGCGAGATTCTTATTCCATTATCGTCCATTAAAGAAATAAGCAGATACTACTATATACATATTAATATTAATTATACCTGATTTTAATACATAATGCTTATTATCAATATTTAATGTTCTTGTCATAAAAATTAAAAAAGTTACATTTATACATTTCAGAACTTAAAGTCTAATCTCGGACCCCTTGGACTCCGCAAGAGATTCGCCATAATAACACAATTTAAATACCCTATAAAAAAATAAGCGTCAAAAATATGGTATTTCAAATAACAAAGGTTACTTTGATCAATGATCTATGACAAAATTGTGATTATATTGATATCTTTGACGTGAGAGACAAACTATAGATTACCTGTTTGAAATGGTTTAACCATGTGATGTGTAAACCAAGGAAATACATTGGTCGAAGATGCCTTAACATATTTGTCTTTGGGAAGCACTTTTAATTGCGATCTATCACTGTACGCTACATATAAGGTTGATTGCTTTTCATCGCATAATTATATTTCTTTTTTCCCATAGGTTCACTAGAATTAAAAAAAAATAGAGTAGATTTAAAAAAGAAAATGACGATTTCAAAGTGCTTGTGAACAAGTCTATTTGAATAAAGATGATTTGAATTTGAAGAGAATGCTATATTATCTGCCTTTTGTACCAAACATTTTTTTGTAATGTGGTCAATAAAATAATTAACCTTCCAAAAAGCTCCTTTAAAAAGTGCATATTACACAACAACACCTACTACTACTCTTATAAGTATGGCGCCTTCTGGTCTCAAGAATTTCTAAGCTACTTTATTCATAATACAAAACTTTTTTGTAATAAAAAGAGTATATCATGTATTTAAGTAAAACTTTGAAATATTTCTCTATAATTTTTAACTGTTCAAAATTAAGTACATTAATGATAATTTCCTAATAGCAAATCTATTTCCATGTAAGTATAAATCGGTTGATTCTAAAAATCTAGGTATTCATAATTTATTTGCTTCCAGGTAATAATAATGTCCGGCAAGTCGGTATTTATTTTATTATTTTTTTAATAAATTTATTGTAAATAACAAGAAATAATCATTGTAAAAAAATATTTTCGGACCAACTAATCTCTATTTTTTTGTTCAATACATATGGGAGCACTACCGCTGGAATCATGGAAGATAAAGATTTACCCCCTCGTCGTCTGCAATAAAATCATATAAAAACAGAATTACTATATTTTAACAGAATTGAGTTCCACGAAACGTGGGGTATTTCCTTGCAACTCCCCTAGGCCCCCCTATATGCGGCCTTAGAAGTACCATTAATATTTATGCTCACACATACCAACCTAGTCCATTTTCTTCTATTTGAAGTTCGTTGTTCGTTATCGATAAATATCTCTACAGGATTTATTGCAAGTATTTCAAATATGTGGTCTCTGCCTAACCCAAAGTAAGAGGAATATGTACAAGTATAAATGGGTACTAAAAAATTGAAAAGAGTCGCTTACGTAAATCCTACACCTAAGATGTGAAGTTTGTTAAAATATTTGGATTTTGTGTATTTAAATAAAACTTGATAAACAGATACAACATATCCTGCATGAAATCACAGGATAGTAATAATGTCTAATTCCGGCAGAAAAAGTCGCGGAATTATTACTATTAATAAATAAATTATTGAAACTAATTAAATGAAATGGAAGTGGATATGAGCACGTATACCTAATACCTGATAACAGTATTTACGAGATTAGTTCAGCGTTTGAACTCTTACATAGGTATTTAATAAATTACTATATCAACAAGCCACTATCTCATTCGTAACGCTCCACGACTCACATTTGATATTTTTGATAAACATCAATATGTACATTTTTAAAAATATACCTAATGGGTTTTAAATGATTAACAACGAACCGATGTCTATAAAATTTTAATACTTTAAAAGTTTACAAAAATAACACTCCAATTTTATAAGCTGATACAGTAAATTTATTTAAACGTAAAACGCGCAGCAGCTGTATAACTATTTTAAAATATTTCAAAATAACGATGAAACTAACATATTTATTATTCCAGTTACTCAATTACTTGAGAATCAATTAAACAATCGATAACGTTCAATGGATAACTATCAGTAAATAAACGCTTTCAAACTCTTGTTTCAAATTCCTGTTATAGTTTAATATTACAATCACTAATAATTTTATTATAGTAACAACATGATTAATGATCACTTTAGTTGTATAACACTTTAATGATGAACATTGATTTAGCTTACAATAATTGCGAATTCAATTTTCTTATAATACTAAAATTCATATTTTCAAATACCTTAATTCTGTTAGAATTTACTCCACAAAAAAAATCAATGTCGACATGATAAAGACATGGGCTTAATAAAATAATTTGTAAACTGTTTTTGATAATTATCGAAATCGGTTTAAAATTAGGAGACATCCTGTAACTTATACATAAAAATAATTATACAAATATGACCAAATTGGGAACCTACTTTTTGAAGTTGTTTAAATATAAAATGCCTTCTATAATATCTTTTATAAAATCTTCAAATTTCAAAATAAAAATATCAAGAATATGATAAAAGAATAATATCAAAATTGTTATGAACTATTTCAGTGATCAGTGAACCACGTCAGAAGGCTTTGTATATAACAAAGGCGACCTAGAAACTCTGGACACCAAAGGGCAAATCCTCACATATGTAATGGTAATTAATGCTCGAGACAAACATAATAACCAAATAACAACAAGTTATTTGGTTTAGATTTCATCTTTTATTGTTATGTTGAGGTAGAAATAAGTATTATGTATAATTATAACTACTATCTGACGTGTGTTGTTAGTGTGGATAAAAACTGAAGCCATGTTAATGTCTTAAGTCATAACAAAGACATCAAGTAAGACTGTGCTCATTTCACTGTTATGAATAATAAGATTTTCTTTATGTGGAACGATTTTCGATAAGCGGAACGTTTTAATAGGATAGTTGAACCGAAGTCATTGCTTAGTTCTAACTAACATACAGAGGTACATCAGAATAATCGCGAATAAATTAGGATGTAAAGATTTAAACTCTCAAATAGAAGCTCCACTTTCTACTCTCGACCGTTTTTAATG